GCACGGCAAGTCCTATGTTCATAAAAGAATGATTAAATCTTTGTAATTTGGCTTGCTAAAAGAGGTACTAAGCATAAGAAAAACCAAATCAAACCAAAAAACCCTGCAAAATGTTTAGGCCATGGAACCACCATAATGTCAACATCTTTTTCCACTGGATCTAATGTCCCATCATGAAGATTGTGTTTTGATTTTTTTCCAGTCCTTATCCAGCTGTCTCTGGACCTATCGAATCATGGGTCAGTTGGCACAACTTAGGGATTATAGGACACAATGGATACACAGTGAGAGGTTGCCCCCCAATTCCATTAGTTCATATGATTTCTTTTATTTATCCAATTTGCTTACAGAGGCATTAATCTATCCATAGGGGTCTCTCAACAAAGGCTTCATGGATTTACTCTTTTTCTCTTTCCCTGATCAAGTTAGGTTCTGTCAGTAACTGAATTGCCTGCCCTCTTTTGGCTTGTGACCTTCCATAAGTCATTTTGGGCACATTTTTAATTTTTGAAATTACATAAATGAATCCAATGTTGTTTCTGGCTCTGGAATTTTAATTTGAATATGTTGTCCTCTTTGTAATCTTTCTGAAAATCAGTTATGAGAAGATTATCTGCTGCTCAATAATCTGAGCAGACTGTGGTGTACACTGAGTTCAAAAGATCCTCCAGCCTCCTTTTCTAGGCCTATCTCCCTCCCCTGCCCCCTCATATTCTTGTGTCCAGTCACTTCATTAAACCATGATGGTTTTATGGTAGGTATTTACACATGTTGCTTTTTAAACAACTTGGCAGTTCCTTGGATCTTTCAAGGATTCTGCTTTTTTGCTAAAAGCCTTATCTAATCCAATGAAATGAAATAAGTTGTTACTCCTCACTTCTTATCACCACTAGGCCTTTTATAGAGCCCCATTATTGCATTAATCATAGCATCTTGCAACTACATGTTAGCTTATTTATTTACTATGATATGGCATACCTAAAGAACTTGAGCTGTAAGGGTTAAGAGGAGAGAAATGTTAAATGAAAAATGCCCACAAGTCAATTGATATCTGCTTTTCATTAATTGGCACTCAATAAATGTTTGATGACTTAATTACAGAGTTGACCTTTGAACAAGTTGGGTTTGAACTGTGAGAGTGCTTATATGTAGATGGTTTTCATAAATACTATCTAGTACTGTAAATAAATTTTCTTTTTTGATTTTTAAAAAGATTTTATTTATTTATTCATAAGAGACACAGAGAGAGAGGCAAAGACATAGGCAAAGGGAGAAGCAGGCTCCCTGCAGGGAGCCCAACGTGGGACTTGATCCCTAGGACCCTTGGATCACGACCTGAGCCAAAGGCAGATGCTCAACCACTGAGCCACCCAGTCACTCCTCTTCCTTATGATGTTCTTAACATTTTCCTTTCTCTTGCTTTCTTCATTGTAATAAAACACTATATAATAAAGATTACATCAAAATATGTGTTAATGTGTTGTGTTATCAGTAAGGTTTCCAATCAACAGTGAGCTATTAGTAGTTAAGTTTCAGGGAGTCAAAAGCTATACGCAGATTTCACAGACACAGAGAGTTAGTGCCCCTTATCCTGAATCATTCAAAGGTCAACTGTATATCCTCACATGCTTTGAAAGCTCCTTGATATTACCAATATCACAGATTTTCCTATTATACTCTTAGAATAGTTGCTTAATAACCATTTGTTAAAAGTTTGGAGTAACTTGATTTTTTTAAAACAAGATTTTCTATTTTAAACTTAATATTTCCAGAAGCATAGGCCTTTATATGTGGAGTCAGGGATGTCTAATGGGATGCTCTTCAGCTATCCTTGTTATGACCAAATAAAAACAGTTAACAGAGATTAAACATTTATCATATTCCAAGCACTTTGTCAAGACTTTTACCATTTAATTTTCACAACAAACCTATAATGTAGCTGCTATTTTCATTCTCATTGAATAGTGAAGGCATATAAACTTTAAATTGCTCAAAGTCACACAGTAATTGGTAGAACTAAGATTTAAACTTAGAAAAATGCCGGTGCAGACTGTACTCTTAGCCACTGTGTTATATTGCCACTAAGGCAAGCAGGCTATAGTAACCTGAATAAGGAGAGCTCTCAACAGCTTTGTAGCCAGTCACCATTAATACCACACATTTGTTCAACACAACCGAGAAATCCCTTCCTATATTTTATAGGTTATCTCCCACATTCTTAAATATGTTTATCCTAAAAAGGAGACTCCCAGAATCTAAGCAATATGTTTTGCATATGCAAATTGTCAAATGTTCTATCCAGCATTTTTGAATGATTTGCTTCAGTGTTTGTTGCTGTCTTTAAAAATTAGCACAGAAGTGATGTTTATATTCATTGCCACCAGCTAAAAGCGTTGGAGTCCTACAGTGCAGCTTGAGGGATTTTGTAGGTTTTCTTTTTTTCCATTAATATTTAAGCTTAAGCTAAGTCAGACAAAACTGAATACATAACAAATAACCATCAAGGTTACTCTTTATAGGTCAAACATAATGACAGTCTCAATTATTAAAAATCACGGCAACTTGAGGCAATGATTTTTACTGTGAATACTTTGCAAGTCCTTCCTCAAGCTTGCTGGTTTTTCAGTTTTAATAAGCCAAACTTGGCGTAGTATTCAGCAAATGGCTAAAGAGTTGACCTTTAGACTTTAAAAGATAAAGTAGACTTTATTCTTTCTCTTTCTTAAAATATTTCTAATTACCTATATTAATAGCAAATAAGCTCCAGATTCATCCACTCATTTGCATGACAAAATGAATTAGAAGCAACAAGTCCTGAGATTCAAGGAGTGTGGTCAGGGTCTCTTCTCTGTGGAGGAAACACTATGGGCCCCTCCGGCCACTTGACATTAATTTGTTGAACTGAAGTGACACCTGTTCATGGTACATCCCAAATATTTTGCATCCCTTGAGTACACCAGAGTGAATAATCCCGTCCATGAAATCTGTTAGAATTCCTGAATATGTGACATGGACTCTACCTCGTCTTATCCACCCCTAGCCACATTTCTTTTTTATTTTCACCTCATTTGTTCTTGTCTCTAGCAACTCTGACAGCTCTCTGTCATCCTCTGATTTTATTTTATTTTTTTTAGAGACAAACATGTCCTCTTTCCTGAAGGCAAAGGCAGGTTACCATTGCCTCCAAGAGTCCACAACCCCACACAAGCCTGCCTGTTCTTCTCAGTAAAACCATAGGTGTGAATTTTGAACACTGAAGCCCTTTCTTAAACTCTCTCAACCTCAGAGCTTTTATTTCTTCATGTGGAGCTTTATCCCTTGATGTCCTATTACACAGCAAGCCCCCCTGCAGGCATTGTCAGGCCACCAAAATAACGACAGATATTAAAGATGGAAAAGATTGTCATCTGGATAAATAGCTAAGATGGAGAATCACCTGAACATGGGATTTGCCCCTATTCTGACCACATGTTACTGGCTGAGGTTCTAAAGGGAACTATACAGAGAAAAGCCTAGAAAACCTAGCACTTGGACTGGGTTCCTAAAGCAGCCTTCTGGTGTACCATTCTGTTTATAGGGAACATTGCCTGTACCTGGGTCAGAAACAGGCTTGAGACCTGGAATGCAGGGCTGAATTATCTTTTTTCTTTAGCTCACATTCAAATTTCAAAAATTACGTCCATGATGGTGAGTAAAGGATTAGTTCAGGGAAGAAGCAAAGGCAAGAGTAGGAGAATCTATGGATAGGAGAATGACTCCTGTTGATTATGCTGAGATTTCTTGGCATTTCAGATGGAACAATAAACCATCTTTTCTCAGGAAAAGTATTCTGAGAAAAAGGATAAGAGACAACTATCAGTCTTTCAAGTTACATCAGCTAATTATCACAGCAGAACTGTGGCATGGCTACCATTACTATTTTCTTTGGAAAGTTGAGGCACATAGATTTTAGCTTGTCTTACAATGAAAGAGAGAGAGAGAGAGAGAGAGAGAGAGAGAGAGATTCTTCTTATATTGAGGGGGTGGTGTCTTGGTGATTGGTAAAGAGCAGTCAGTGAGAAGAGCAAAATGCCAAGGAAATGCTTCTGAAGTGGTAGCCCTAGGTGAGACAGGTCACCCCTGAAGGACTAGGCAGGAGGAAGTGGAGTGGACTTCTCACGGTCTGCATTCAGGGATGTAGAGAAACCATGTACCAAAAACATATTACTAGGATGTTAGTGAGTGATCCCACCACTTGGTTTCTTGGGCCTTTTATTTCAGTCTGCGATGGTTCCACCTGGGGCTGTTTACTGTTTCAATTCACCTACATTTCTCTTAGCTTCTAGGTAGAAATACCAGAAGCATGTTTGGTAGTTGGAATTCATCTAATGTCAGAATATGAGATAGATGGAAGATTAAGTTCAAGAAAAGAAAAGAAAGACTCAGGTTCTCAGGTCTCTGCAGATTGAGCAAGTGCTAATTCTGGTGCTCCCAGCCCCAGCCTGAGTTTTGCTAAGAATGCCTTTTGTTCTGTATATTCTAAATTATAAAGGAAATATGAGGACTTTTGGATTTGTATCAATCTTAGGAGCTTTCTTTTACCTAATCTTTACCAATTCAGTTTTTCACAGATCTGAACACAACATAAAATGTTGGCGATGAAGTTCTGTGGATCTGTCTGTCTGTCTACCTCCTTATTTACTTAGAAAAAGCAAATGCTAAATAACCTCCTGTGTGCAGGGTATTTACTGCTTTAGGGCACAATCTGTTGCAGAACAGTTAAAACTGTTGCTAAGGCATCTATTGTCATAATATATGCCTCGGCAGCCCTGTGTTCTGTCTTGCTCCGCATCTGTGAGCACAGTGATTTATTGGTAATACTAATCTTCTTTGAAAGTCCTAGTGCTGCTAAGTCAAACGTATTTGAAGAGGGGAAAAACAGGTTCATTTTCTGTTGTTTGTTTCCCTGGGATTTCTTATGGCTGCTTGAGAAAACATTTTGAAAGAGGACGTGTACTTACGTAATTAAGTAAGAAGTAAGGAGTGGCATCTACTTTAGGATTATATTATTCAGATGAGGTTTGCCCTGCTGCTTTCATGTTCATAGGATCCAGTATTCCAGGGGATTATATCATCATTACCACCACTGTCGTCATCAGCACTGCGGATGAGCCTTATCGGAGAGTCTCTGCGGGCAGAGTTTCTAACAAAAAAGGGGGAAATTTGAAAATAGAGACCCTACATAAAAACACAAGCCGATTCTTCCCATCAAAGAGGGGAGGTTCTAGGAAGAGAGTTCTCACCATCATTTCACCTTCTTTTTCTCTCCTTTGGCAGAGTATTAGCAAAACAAGGACAGCTCAACAGTGATTGGACTGCAATAAATGATGGGTTGGGCCATTGCATTGAAACTCAGATTTTGCAATGGTCAATTGGGAAGAGCCTTAGGGTCTTGGGGCAGCTACTAGGCAAAAAGTACTTGGGGTCTGCACACTCACCTGTAACCTAGATTGATCCCTAGGTGAAAACCGGAATGTGGGCAAAAGCAAGCAGGAAGCTTGACTCTGGTTTGAAAAATAAATTGTATCCTGCATCCCAGGAGACACACACATACACACACACACCATCAACCACCAAAAATATTTTAATTTTATTTTTCTTTGTGCTCTATCTTCACTGTACCAAATGCTGCCTTCACCTCCCTATTCACATTAAGGTAAAAGTGAGTGAGTGATAACTGCTCCCAGAAATAATTGCTCTTAATTAAATATAAACTGTCTGTCAAATAAATACAGTTCTGAATTGAGGACGTTACTCATCCAGTGGGAAGTGATTTTGTTTGTGTGAAGAAAGTCAGTAAAGATGAGGCAGGGTCTTCTGACGCTAGCTTGGAAAGGGAGTATAATTATCAACATTGTGACTCCTGATGATAGATTGACCTGAATTTAAATTCAGCTTCATCACACACTCACTGTGCTAAATTGGGCAAATTTGTCAATTTTTCTAAGAGCCAGTTTCCATTAAAATAGGGATAATAGTAGTTAACACATTCTCAGAGGTATAACACATATTGGATAGTACAATGCATATAAAATACAAGCTACTGTCTGGCCACAAGCTTGTGCTTGTTGTTATTTATATAAGATAGATGATAGCATGCCTTCGTGTAAAGATAGTAAGGAATGATTCCATTAACTGAAACTGCAGACTCCACTGATTTGAGCTCTTCTCACTAAAATGAAATATTTCTTTTTCTTCTGTTTGGTTTAGGTATTAAATGATGAACACAAAAGGAAGCATTAAAAATAAATGTATAAATAAGTTAATAAGAGATTATCTACCAGATAAGCTAGTTGAACATGCACTTAAAAACGCAATGATCACAAACATATAATAATTTGATCCCATTTTATTAAATATAAGGGTGATCCCTTATATTTATATCAAACTTTTCAGGTCAGAATTCAAGACAGAAACAAAAAATGTGAACAGCTGGCTTTTAATAATCTGATTTTTTTTAAAAAAAATCTTTCTTTCTTTCTTTCTTTCTTTCTTTCTTTCTTTCAGAGAGAGCACAAGCATGAGTGAGGGAGGGGCAGAGGGAGATAGAGTATCTCAAGCAGAAGGAGGTAGGGGAAGGGGCTTGATCCCACAACCTTGAGATCACAAGCTGAGCCCAAAACAAGACTCTGATGTTTGACCAACTGCACTACCCAGGCACCCCTTAATAATCTGATTTTTGAAATAGTAGGGATAGAAATTTTGATTATGCAGCATAATTTTTCAATCTATTGAGGCACTGAAATACTTCGCCAACTCTGTGGACTTTATGATGCTCTGGCATCATGGTTTTGGTAATTTTTTAGCTTACTGAACATGCCTGACTGTTTAGAGTCGAAGTTCCCTCATCTACCTCGTGCATCAGATTGATATTAGAATTAAAAAGAACATATTCATAAGAGGCTAGATACAGGGAAATAATCAGTACCCGGTGATTAGAATTGGGCACTTATTAGGTATAAGGTGCAATTTCTTCAAAGAACCCACATGTGGTGACAACCTGCTTAACAACACTTTCCTTCTGTAAAGTACCTCTTTAATTTTATGTTTACTGTTAAGATAGAATAGAGTAAATAAAGGTTTGAGTGTGTTTTTACTCACCCATACAACAACCAACAAACAAAGCAATCAGCGCACTCTGCAGTACCCTGTACAATAAGGAACAGCCTTTGCCTACTTATTGTGTCCCTGTTAATATTTGAAGGGCAAGGAGTTAAATCTCTACAACCTGTAAATGCTTCATTTGTGGCCTTTGTACCTCTGGATGAATAATGAATGTTAATTAATGATGACACTGACAATAGCATTCCATGTTTTCTGTTTTTTGCACTTTACCCATCTCTAAGCCTTTGCCTCCTGAAGTGGGTTCCCTATTATTTTATTCATTATATTATTCCTGGAAACTTGTGCTTTGTTAAAATACAGCAGATATCTTCTTGTGTGTTACCATAGCAAATTGCATAAGAATTTACACCATAAATTATTCATTACAGCCAATTTAGTATAATTATTAATTCCAGCATACATTGGTGCCTGATTACATCTCAGTGCTCGTTGCTGGATCTTGACCATGTTCTGCTGAAAATAATGATCTGTCATGGCTAATCAGGATCTAACAAGTCCCACTAAAAGGTGAAAATGTTTAATTAATATCGGTTTAATAAAACAATGATTGATCCAATTGTTACAATGTGTCAGAGATTCTTCCGAAGGTAATCTAAAATCTACCTGGTAATGAATTTAAGACCTGGCAGTGGTGTATAAGCAATCAACGAGTTTTCCAATTCAAGGGCAAATTGGGATGTACTCTTCCCTTGGTATCTTTCTGCAAAAGTAAATCAGCTCTCCTTTCACTGGGAAGCTTTGCTCCCAACATCAGTTCTGGTATTTCAAGCTTTCATGCCTTCTGCTCCCAATGAGCCCTTTTCTTGCATTAAAGATGCATCCTGTATTGTATGTGAATGTTCCAAACTGCGCTGCCTCCCACGCGGATCTCATTTTAACTCTAACTTGAGCTGAGCAAAGTTTGCAGTTGCATTTCCCACTGGGATTAACTGTGGAGAATATGGGTAGGAATTCAGTTCCAAAGCCCTTTGGCTGCAAAATCACGTAGTCTAAGTACCCATGGAACATCACTGAATAGATATGACCCAATTTTGATATGAATTTTTCTGGGGGAGGGCTCTTGAAATGTAGAGCAGAAATCAGACCTATGTGCAATAAGACCGATTTTATTATGTTAACTTATTGTGTATATTTTGAATAATTTCCTCTGTTCTTTTGCTGTGTGCCCTCAGGATTAAGTGTGAGATGGTATTAATTATTTTAAAGTCTACAGAATAAATTAAATGGCTTGTTTTTTTTAATCTTGGAGGAGGACATAAGCTAAAGTGATAACATCTCTCTTACTGAGGGCCAATAATACCTATGCTAGGCACAGTGTGTCTGTTTGCTTTTATACTCACAGTGGCCTTTAGAAATAGGGAATATGTTCCTCAGTTTCAAGATGAGAAAGCAAAACTGGAAGTCCTCATGCAGTAGATTGATGAGTAGGGGTATAAACTCAGGTCTGACTGATCTCCTACTACCTACTTCAGAATGGTTATTGGAGGACAGCTCTAGACCAGGGGCTAAGGCAGGGACTGTTTGAATTGCTAAACTTACTAGCTTTTGATTCTTTCCTTGTTAGAACAAGGGTGAATTTTAATGCTTCATTTTTGAAACACACACATAGATGAGATGAATGAAGGGAAAGAGGCAGAACTTATATTTTTGCTACCAGTTCAATATCAGGTTAGAATTAATTTGGCTGTGTATTTGGCTCTCTTTCAAGGGACATAAACTTGTAGATATCAGATCCATGTACAATAGAGATAAGTCATATTGCAAAAACTATAAATCCATCACATTTCAATTATCACACCTCTCCTACCAATGTCCTGTGTGTTTTCCCAAGAAAACATTCAGAAATCACTTCTAAGTCTACTTCTTTTTGTGAATTTTGTTTAAAGTACCTTCCCAGAGCTTGTTAGGGCTGAGATGTTTCAGAAACTGTCAGTTGTTTGCCTTGATGGCTCGGGGGCAGTGGATACCTCAGTAACACTTTGTAGGGCCACCTTAGAAAACCACAGACAAACAGATGCTATCATCTTTGCCCTGCAGTTCACTGCACATCAACTGAAGGTGCTGTACCACTGGAGAATTCTCTAAGGTCTTCGGGGCTAACCCGATGTGTTCCACATTCAGCTCACCCTGGAGTTCTTCTACTGCTGCAAATGTAACTTACATGTGAGAGGAGAGGTTATGGCTATGTTTGTATATAACCATTCTACTTGCTTCTGGGATTTCATTATCCTTAGTGCATATCATGCCATTTTAGAGTCTTCGCTGGAACTACTCATTATAGTCCTTCAGCATTGCTAAAGCTTGCTAGTTTTCTCTTATTTTCACAAGTTTATTGGGTCTCTATAAAGCTGAGAGAAAAACTGCTGGGAGAAACAACGTGAAAGATAGCTAGTGTGGGAACAAAGACTAGAAGAACCAGGAAGAATAAGGAAAGAGAAGCCATAGACAGTCAAAACTGCAAAAAGAATGCCAGTTTCACTAATCTGTCTCTTCTTTATAAAGATAATTTATATCAGCATTTTTCACCAAAGAGCCAAGTGAACTGCTTGATTATTTATTTACTAATGAGTCAATAGCATGATTCTTATTCCTACACTCTGGGAGCAGAAAATTGGATCACACAAAGGAATTATCTCTCTCTCTTAATTTAACTTTGCTTTGTTGGATGCTAGAAGAAAGTTTCAGGAAATGTCCATCTTTGGGTTTTACACATCTGTGTAAATGTGGGTTTACACAGCTGGATAGTGGGTTTACTACAGCTGGATAAAAGAAGGAAAAGATTTATGAAAATCTTTTTCATAAAGGAAAAGATTATTATTAATGCCTCACCTAGGCATATTCCAGTTTTCACAAGGCTGAGATAGGCTATTTTAGGACAGAAGACAAGATGGACTGCAAGGTGGAAATCTTTAGCACTGGAAAATGGCAAAGCCCAGAGACATGACTATGAATGTTCTTATCTACAAATAATGGCAACCCACACTGGAAGATGCCCCAGAATCAGACCAGTTATCCTTCAAAGGTCACCACTTTGTATATATGAGGGAACCAGCTCCTTCCTCCAATGCCATGAGGTCAAAATATAATATCTTTTTCCTATATCCATACCTCATGGTGGAGAGGAACCAGGGAAAATCATGGTGGAAATAGGACAGTAAAGCCCCCCCAAAAATCTTAAAAGTCTAAATGATACGTAAATATCTTTATTTAATCATGCATTAGTCAATTATCATAAATTGTTGTGTAAGACTTTTGAAAACTAGGGTATGATAAAAGGTCAATACAAGCAATATACACACAAATTCCAAAGTTTCTAGCAAAACTATTTCTGGGGAAATTTGTAACCCTGTTTTTTTTTTTTTTTAAAGAATGATTTGGGTTGTAGCAGTGATGCATATCTTAATGTGAGTGATTCTCCTGGATCTTTTTTAAAGAATAAATTAAATGGGTTGAAGGGGTAAACATTGGTATAGGAGAAATAACAGAAGGCTGCTGACCAAAGCAGTCAGGACTTCACTGTTCTCCTTCTCCCCCTTGAGGATATTTTATCCAGAGTCCCAGTTTTTATTATAATTAATGCTATATTAGTAAGATGATAACAGAAATTATGATAGTTATTACTAATAGTAATTTATAGTCACAAATGATAAAGGAGATAGTTTGCTAGAAAAGCCTAACATCAGATCTTAATAGTGATTAGGCAAAAAGCTTCTGACAATCACATCTGTGGTTTCTACCAGTCAGGGCAATGAGAGGAACAGAGGCCTAAATTGCTGAAAAGTAATGACATAAAAATATTGAACCAAACAGACAGACACAGGCTGTAAACTACCAGTCTGGGCATGCAGGTGCACAGTAGCAAATGCAGGTCTTTTTATCAGGCTTCTGAGAAACCAAATTGCATTTGTTTCCTAGAAAGCAAATAAGGATAAAGGCAGTAAAAACAGTGAGTGTATCTAGGCAATTCATTAGATTTTAAACTGCTCAAAGATTGATTGGTATCACATTGATAACACAATTAAAGTAGTTTCAAATGGGCACTGTTTTCATACTGTAGCATTTTAAAAAATTTAGAATATGTGGGGGGAAAGGTTACCTACAGTTCTGTCTTCCAAAGATGATGACCAATTACACATTTGTATCTTGAATTTTTTTCCTTAAACAGATATTTTTACATTTCCTTTAACATTAGAGGCATTTTTGTTTATGACTATACATTAAAAAAATAAAACAAAACATGTAGATAGATCATCTTTGTTTTAAAAACACATGAAACTGAAGTGACTAGATAGGTACTTTGAGCAATTATTGTCACCGAAATATTTGTGTGAATTAAGTAATAGGTGTTTGCACATGTGTGCATCTGTGTATTTGTAGTGTGAGTATGGGAAGAGGTTGGGCTTATTGGAATTTAGAAGCTTGAACAAGTGGTTCTGCAGAGCTGACACTCACCTCTAAGGAGGTTATGCCCTGCTGATGGGCACAATAAGATTTACCCAGGGGGATTCTGAAGAAGCCAGAAGCTGGAAAGAACTGCCACTGCCAGAGTAGGGCCCTGTTGCTGATGCAACGCTGGCAGTATCAGCATCCAAAAGAGAATTGAAGAGCCTCCTTTTCCTCCTCCAGCCTTGCAATCTGCATTCAGTGGCCCCCATTAGAAGACCTTAAGAGAAAGTCATCCGGCAAAACCAAAATGTGGTTTACAATATCTCAGCCCTAGCACTGTGCATAGAGTGCAAAAAGGAAGGTTTGGAGCTGAGGGACCTGGCACACAGAGAACTGTGCCATTTATGAACAACTGAATCATTTATAGAGAGATCACGTCTACTTCATCTTGGAAAAGGAACGTCCATACTCATAGCTCCCTCTCAGGGCTAGGGTGAGTTTGGCATCTTATTACTTTATCTCTTTTCAAGTTTTCTGATTTTTGCTCTCTAGCTTCCCTCAAGAAGTCTAGGGAAGTCTATGTTTAGGAAAGTATTTATTATGCCCATGGATATTCCACATACCCCTGCTAGGAGCC